GCCCCGACTCTTTGAGGGATGTCCTGTCATTGGCTTCATTTTACAGATGAAGAAACCGAGGCTTGGGGAGGTTACATTCATTCAAACAAATATTATTGAGCACGACTTTGCACCAGATACTTGAGGAATGGTGGTGAGCGAGACCAAGTCCCTGGACTTGTGGAGCTGACATTCTGGTCGGGGAGGCTGACACACATGTAAACACAGGAAAGTCATAGACGTTATACATCAGCTGGGCACAGTGGCGCGTACCTGTAGTCCCAGCTACTCAGGAGGCTGAGGCAGGAGGATTGCTTGAGCCCAGGAGTTCAAAGCTATATTGTGCCACGGCTATCACTGCATTCCAGCCTGCGCAACATAGGAGGCCTCGTATCTTAAAAAAAGAAAAAAATCATATATCGATCAGTGCTATGAGGTAAAAAGACTTACAAATAGCAAGTAGTAGAGGCAGGATTTGGACCCAAGTCTAGGTGATGCCAGGGCCCAGCATTTACCCCTCTGCTCTCTTGCCTTCCAAGAAATTATAATAAATCATGGTAAATCAGCTTTTCCCTTTGAGACCCAGATCCTTGGTTTGTTCTGCCCAGGTTTGCAGGCGGTTGGGAGGTAGCTGATGAGCTGTCATTAGGGCTCTGAACCACCTCATTTCTTTTCTTTTTTTTTTTTTAAGTGATGGGGTCTTGCTACATTGCCCAGCCTGGAGTGCAGTGGCTATTCACAGGTGCGATCACAGTGCACTACAGCCTCCAACTCCTGGGCTCAAGCGATCCTCCTGCCTTAGCCTCCTGAGTAGCTGGGACTATAGGTGTGCACCACCATGCCCAGCTGAGCCACCTTATTTCTCCTTTCAGGATCAAGCACCCCAACATTGTAGCCCTGGATGATATCTATGAGAGTGGGGGCCACCTCTACCTCATCATGCAGCTGTGAGTGACCCTACTTCTGCCCCTTCCTCACACCTCTCCCTCTGCCCCCACTCTTTTGGCCTGACTGCCCTATGCCCTGCTGCAGGGTGTCCGGCGGGGAGCTGTTTGACCGCATCGTGGAAAAAGGCTTCTACACAGAGCGGGATGCCAGCCGCCTCATCTTTCAAGTGCTGGACGCTGTCAAGTACCTGCATGACCTGGGCATCGTACACCGGGATCTTAAGGTGGGGCTCAAGGGAGTGTGGTGACCTGGGACACCCGAGGTTGGGGCCTTTACAAACTATTCACTGTCTGACCTTGGGCAACCCTCACACCCTCACTGAGCCTCAGCTTCCCATCTGCAAAATGGACCTTGTAACCCTTAAACTGCCTCTTACCATTCCAGTTCAGATACTCAAAGGGACACAAAAGTGAATTATGCTGTCATTTTATCCAAGTAATGTTTCATGTCTATTTCTGTTTTTTCTCCATTTCTTTTTTATTTGTATATATTCATGGGGTACAAGTGCAATTTTGTTGCATCGATACGTTGCACTGTGGTGAAATCAGGGCCTTCAGTGCATACATCACTGAAGCAACACACGTCATCCACCCCCCTCTCCATCCCCCACCCGTGTCTTTTTCTGATAATAAAAGTCCCATTTGCTCTTTGTAGAAAACTTAGATGGGACAGCAAAGCATAAAGAAGAAAGCCAGAAATCCCTGAATTCCTACTCCTCTGAGATAACAAGGGGGTTCATGTTCTGTAGTATATCTCATTCCGGTCTAGAAGAGCGCTGGGGTGACAGATCTGGGTTTGAATTCTGGTCCTGCTACTCCCTAAGTGGGTTCTTAGGCGTGTCACTTTGCCTCTTGAAGGCATCAGTTTCCTCATCTGTTAAGTGGGATTATCCAGACTGGCCCAGCAGGGATGTGGTAAGGATGACATCAAATCAGGCACAAACCTAGGGCCTGGCACAGTAGATGCTCAAAAATTTCTTTAGGGCTGCACAATACACACCTGAGGTTTACAGAAAATTCCCTCCCACACCTCCTTGGCCTATGTCTTTTCTGGAACTTTTGGCCTTCTTGAGAACTTCCTTGAGTTTCTTATGCCTCCAGCCAAGATGGCAGCCACGAAGCCACAGTCGCTTTTGGAAAATCCATTGTTTCTCAGTGGGTGCTTGCGAAGGCAGAAGGTTCTGCCAGCCTATAGCCATCTCTGACTACCCATCCCCTCCCTCCCATCCTCCAAGCCAGAGAATCTGCTGTACTACAGCCTGGACGAAGACTCCAAGATCATGATCTCCGACTTTGGCCTTTCCAAGATGGAGGACCCGGGCTGTGTGCTCTCCACCGCCTGCGGGACCCCAGGATACGTGGGTGCGGAGGGCCGTGGGCTGGGGCTGTGGGTGGGGGAGGAACCAGGAGCTGCTGGGCAGAGATTTGTCACCACCATGTCACCTTGCCTCCATAGCCCCTGAAGTCCTGGCCCAGAAGCCCTACAGCAAGGCCGTGGATTGCTGGTCCATTGGAGTCATTGCCTACATCCTGTAAGTGGGGACTCCGCCGTGGCAGGATGTGGCCTGAGAGTTGTCCTCTCCCTGCTTTCCTCTCTTCCTCCCTCTGCTTATTCCTTCCTTCCTTCCATCCATAGTTATATTGACCAATTAATTACTAATATCACTTCATTCGATAGATACTATGTTTCAGGCAGTGTGCCAAGCACTGGGGATTTAGCAGAGAACAAACCAAAGTGCCTGCCCTCAGGGAGCTGACCTTCTAGTAGGGAAGACAGATAATCAACAAGTAAATAGATCTATAAAATAATGTCAGGTGATAAAAAATGCTGTGGAGAAATCAAGCAGGGACAGGGAGATGGGGATGATGCCATTTTAGGGAGGGAGGTCAGGGAAGGGCTTGCTGTGGAGGTGACATCTGATTGAGGTAAGGCAGCCACACATTTAAGGTGTTGGGGAAGAATGGTGCAGGCAGAGGGAGCAGAAAGTGCAAAAGCTCTGAGGAGGGCAAGATGGCGGCATGTTCAAGGGACAGAAAGAAGGCCAGTGTAGCTAGACAGGAGTGAGCAGGCAGAAAGGGGTGGAGTTTACAAGGTTCGGGGGGACTCCTTCTTGTGGGTCCTGCCTGACTCCTGGGACTGCCCCAAAGCTCCACCCCAGAGCCAATGGGTGCACTGAATGTGAAAATGAGGATGAGTTTCTCCCCGCCAGGCTCTGCGGCTACCCCCCCTTCTATGACGAGAATGATGCCAAACTCTTTGAACAGATTTTGAAGGCCGAGTACGAGTTTGACTCTCCTTACTGGGACGACATCTCTGACTCTGGTATTTA